GCTATGTGGGAAGGCCCAGGCCCCTCCACTCTTAGCTTTACTTCAGATTATGTCTTATGAATTCAGTTATGTAAATAGAGGTGGCCCAGCCCAGGGGAGGGGCCCCACCCCATCCATCCCCTCTCCCTCGCCCGTCTGACCCCCTTTCACACACTCCGAGTTTATTCTGTAGCCCCTCCTGCTGGCATCAACCCTGCCACCCAGTACCCGCCACGGGTGCTGGGCCTCTGCCCAGCTGGGACTGCCCAGGGAAGCAAGGCCCAGAGAGGGGAAGAGCCTCTTGGAAGGTCACACAGCAAAGATGACCACACCACCTGCAAGAAGGCCAGGAGGGCAGGTGGCCGGGTGTCAGAGTTCCCAAGCAGGGGCAGGAGGAGCCACTTAACTGCCTGCCGTTTATGTTGTACAGCGTCCCTCAAACCCCTCACCCCACTGACCCCCTCACCCTGCTGGCACTTCCAGCCCCCTGGAGGGGCTCTCTGCTATCCTGTTCACAGGCAGAACCCACCCAACCTAAAGGCAGGGCCTGGGCTCTGTCTGCCCACCGGGTGCCCCACCCCACCCCCAGAGAGGAGGCGTGCAGGAGACAGGGGGAGGAGGGCTGGTGGGGGCTCAGAAGACTCCCTGCCCCTCGCCCCGGCGCCTCTGCACCTGCCCCACCCCCTTATGCCAGCAGGATGACTCTGCTGACCTTTGCCCCTCTGGTCACTGCCTGGACCAAACCAGAAAGGCCATTGGGGGCAGGGTTTCGGATCACCACTGGACATGACAGCTGAGACCCCATGATCGCCAGCACACCCGCTCTGCACTGGGGCAGGCGGTCTTCGTGAGAACAGGCCGAGTGGGCCGGAATGTCACAGAGGGGCTGTGCCCCAACCACACGCAGGCACCTCCCGGAGCAGCAAGGCCCGGCCAGCTCTGCTCTGTGGGCTCATGGGGGTGGGGTGCCCGTAGGGTTCCCAAGCAGGAGTAGATCAGGGGGAAGGACCCAGGGCATGAAGGCCTGCATCTGACGGGAGCCGACAGTGGGGGCAAGGAGGGCGTCCAGGAGTAGTGGCCAGAGACACGGGAGAGTCAGGCCTCAGCGGAGGACCAGGAGACGGGGGATGGTGCCCCAAATTCAGGCCTCACTGCTAACTGACCAGCCTCTCAGAGGGAGAAAGACCCGGCAACCCGCGCAGAGATCCCAGCCCAGGACGTCTGTGGGCGTCTCTCCTCCAGATAGTGGACTCCACTTGAGGGTACAGCCCGAGGGAAAGGAGGGGCCCGGGAGGGGCTGGGGAGGGTGGGGAGGGGCTGGAGGGGCTGGAGGGGCTGGGGAGGGTGGGGAGGAGCCCAGGAGGGGCCTGGGGTCCCAGGGGTTCAGAGTGAGGGCTGGAGGAGGGGTCACCATGGGGGGGCTGAAGGTCCCCTGAGCCTGCACGACCTGCAAGGGTGGAACAGCGGCAGGATGAGGTGGCAGCAGCCAGCTGGGGGCAGAGTCCAGGTCTGGGTGGGGACCCCGTTGAGCAAGCGGTTCTGGAGGAGACGGAATGAGGATGCCAAGGCCCTGAGCCCCGGGACTGGGCACAAAAAGGGTTAAAGGGACACTCCAGGAGACGTCCCCGCCACCACAGGTCTGGGCTCAGGGCAGTGGAGGCTTCCCTCCACATCCATCCTCTGGACCCCACCCGTGGCCCCCCAGCCCGCAGCCCCTGTGGCGCGTCCCTGGGGGCTCTTCCGAGGATCTGTGTCACTCAGGAGCCGCGGCGGCCGGTGTGCGGGGCTCAGTCCTCCAGCAAACAGGAGTAGCGCCCGGAGCGAAGCGTGAGGACGCGGGAGAGGGGGGCGCAGGGGGAAGGGCGCCGAGTCCCCGCCGCCCGTCCGTCTGCGGGGCCGCGCTCTGCGGAGGGACGGGGTCCGCAGGCCGGCGGGAGGGGAGAGGACCCGGACGAGGGCGGCGCGTCGGCCGGGCGGGGACCCTCGGATCCCGCCCCGCGCCCGCCCAGCGCCGCCGCCGGAAAGTTTGCGCGGGGAGCCGGACCCCGACCGAGAGCGCGGAGACGGTGAGCACCTGCCCGGGGCCGGTGGGCGCCGGGCGGAGGGTCCCGGGGCGCCCTGGGCTGGCCGGGCGCAGCGGGGCCTGGCGGGCGGGCCCTTGTCCTGAGACGCTCTGGGCCGGGGGGCCCGGAGGTCGCCGCTCTCGCCCCGTGGGACACCTCGGTCCCCAACCTCCGGGTCGCGGCGCTGGGCTCGGACGGTCGCGAGGTCCTGCCCCAGCGTGAGGCCGGGGGGCTCCGCCCCACCGCCGTCCTCTTGTGTCCTGGGCGCGGCTTTTGGGGGGGTCTTGCCGCCACCCTCCCACCCGAGACTCGCACTTCCCACCCCTGCGCGCGTCCCCCAGGACTGCGTCACCCCAGCGCCCTCCCCTCCTGCGGCCACTGCCCCCTCCCCTGGCCCCGCTCCCAGCCCCCCAGCAGTGTGAGGCGTCGGCACCCCACCAGCGGGGCTTCCCCTGTGGACCGCACCAGTGACTCTGCCCCCCAGCCGCCTCTGCGGCGCCCCGCCGCGGGGGTTCCTGCCCCCACCCCCACTTGCTGACACACCTTGGGCGCCCGCATTCTCGGACTGGCCCAGTGGTTTTCCACCCTGGGGTGAAGGTGACGAAGGAGATGAGGGTGGGAGGGGTTCATGCGATCTCATCAGAGCGGCCTGGCCCTGCTCCGCCTGGCTCTGTCCACAGCCTGCTGCCCCTGGCCCGACCCAGACCGCTGACCTTCCCGCCACTCTGTCTCAAAATCACCCACATCTCAATCCCCTCGGGTGCCCAAAGCTGGGGTCCCTTCTCCACACATCCGGATGGAGAGCAGGAGCTGTCCACCCCTCCTGGAAGCCCCCTCAGGGCTCCAAGGTTCCCTCTCAGCCACCCCCAGGGGCAACTGTGGGACGCTCAGGAGTGGTGGCTCTTGGCTGGGCCAGGGCGTGCCTGCTGCCAGCCCAGGGTGATGTGCGGGCTTCGGGAGGCTGCAACAGCCGCGTTCCCAGGGTGGGTGCTGGGGGCTGTCAGGGTGCCACGTTCTGTGGGTCTCCATGAAGTCCATACCCGCCCTTTGCCCACTATGCACCCCCCAGGTTCCCATCAAAGGCTCTGAGGGGCCCTTCCCTGCCTACTCTGAGGCCTGGGGAGGGCCACCCTGGGAGCCTCAAGGCTTTCCAAGCCCCAGAATCCCCTGCTCCTGGGCCTGGCTGCCATGGAGAAAGTCTAGGGGTACAGCGCACCCCTCCTTCGCCCCACACCACCCACCCCAGACTAGCTGACCCCCTCTGAAAGGCAGCTCCCGCATGGGCAGCCCCGATGGGTGACATTCCTGTCTGCCCCACCCTGGGAAGCCAGCAAGGGGCCATGCAATGGCCCCCATGTTTCCACAGGGAGGCTGACTCTAAGGGGCGTCCTCACTGCAGGGGCCTCCCCTCTGGGGTGGAGCACAGCCCTTCCCCTGCCCTGGCTGAAGGGCCAGTGCCCCACGGGCCTCCAGGCAGGGACAGCTTATCGGCCAGTGTCCTCTCTGCTCTTCCCCGTCCACTCTGCCTGGCCAGCCCTTGGCAGTCCCTCCCCATCCCCTTCCCTGCTCCCAACCCCCCTCCTCCCAGGCCTCTCAGGTGTCTAGCAGCGTGGGCCTAGGGTGGCCAGTGGGTCGGTGCACGAAGCCTGCTCCGGGCTGCTCCTGCCCAGCTGAGCCTGAGGCCAGGAGCCGGCCAGGCGAGGGGCAGCACACGGGGCTGTTTCCAGAAGGGAGGAGATCTGACCTGGCCTCCCCTCCCTCCTGCCCCCCACCCCCCACCAGGCAGCCAGAGCCCAGGCTGGGGTGTGGTCCAGGCGCCTGGCCGGCCTCCTCAGCTCTGAGCCTGCATGGCTGCAGCTCCGGTCCTGGGAGGGGAGGAAGAAACATGCCCCCATGAGGGCTCAGCCAGCCTGACCCCTGGAGGCAGACTTGGTGTTCTCCCTTCTCAGCCAGCCGCCCAGCCCCCCAGTTCCCTCCCATACAGCCACAGTTCCACACTCGTGCCCTGCCCACTTTCTCCCTCGATCCTGGAGGACACTGTCTTCCATCTGTCCATCCATCCATGCATCTGTCCGTCTGTCCATCCATGCGTCCTTCACCAAGGGCCAGAGTGCCCAGAAAAGGACCCCACACAGCCCAGAGGGCCCACTCAGGCCCCAAGGGAAAGCCTTGCAGCTCCCCAAGGGAATTCAGTAGGAGCCAGAGGGACTGTACAAACAGTGACGGCCAATTTCAGTCTCAGCTGCTGTCCGCCGCTCGGACAGACCCTGATCTGGGTACTGCACACCGCCCCCAACCGCACAGTGACTGCAAGGGCAGGGGTCCTGAGTCTGGGCACTGGCTGCCACAGTGCTAATCTCAGAAATGTGCCCACAGGATGGGCAGCCCAGGCGAGGCTCAGGCAGTGCCACTGGGGAGGGCCCCCAAATACCCCACTCCGGGGAAGGGGCTAGGGTGTGACAAAGACCACCGAGCCTGCGCCTGAAGACGGCCCAGTGCAGGGTTGGCCCGGGGCCACCTCACCAAACATGGCACTGGGGACTGGCAGACACCACCGCAGCCCAGTGATGAACGGCTGGTCCCCCCTTGGCTCCAGGTCAGGTCAGCCTGGCAGGCAGCCTTTCCCAGGGCTAATAATAGGTGGTGCCAGTGAGGGGTGCAGATTTGCCCCTTCTGAGAGCTGGGGGTGACCGGCAGGAGGGTGGCTGGTGCCAGCATGGGGGGGGGCTCTGGGGCTGTAAGGATGCTGGGCCCCAGCAGGCAGGCACCCCCAGGACGCTGCACAAGGCCTCCCCTTCTCTCCCCTACTTCACCAGCAGGACCCAGGCCATTCACTCGCGGGGCCCCCGAGGCCTGCTGCACTGGCTCTCGGCACCCCCAAGAAGTGAGTACGCCCACGAGGACCCCTTTGCCCAGACTTGTACCCCAGACTGATGTGGAGGGCAATTGCCCAGAGGCATGCCCCCCGCCCAGCCATGCTGCCCCCATCTCCTGCTGCTGCTGCTGTTGGCTCGCCAGGTGAGCGCTGCGGCCCTCCAGGCTGTTCCCTCCCACACAACGGGGTGCACCCAGCTGCTCTGACATCCTGCCTGTCCTTCTTTCTGGCTGCCTGTTCGTCTGTGCTCCAGCCCCAGGCCCCCGCTGCCCAGGTGATGGACTTCCTGTTCGAGAAGTGGAAGCTCTATGGGGACCAGTGTCGCCACAACCTGAGCCTGTTGCCACCCCCCACCGGTGAGCCCCGCCAGCCCCCAGGTCAGCCCTGTGGGCACAGCCTTGGCTCTCGTGGCCAGGAGGGGCACTGGCCCTATGACGGGTGAGAAAGGTGAACCACAGAGAGGTTGGGACTTGCCTGGCCACACAGGCGGAAGCAGCAGGAAGGGGCTTGGCCCGCTGCTGTGGGGACCCCGGGCCTCACAGTGCCCGACTCAGTGGCCCCTGGGAGGGGTAGGCTGAGGTAGGGGAGGTGCGTTATACTGGGGGATGGTTGTTAGAGGAGACTGAGGCAGCACCAGCGTCTGGGCACTGGGCAGGGGCAGCAGACATGGGGTCCACAGAGGCGGTGCACACCTTGGAGGGGGAGTCTGGGAAGGATGGAGGTTCAGCCCCAGACAAGAAGATGCAAGAAGGGGAGGGGGGACCCCGGAGTACGCTTGGGGCATCTTTCAGACTTTCACCTCCAAGGGAAGGTGGTCCCCGGCTGAGCTCCCCAGGAGGTGGACTGCAGCTGGCCATGGAGGTGGGGGCCTGGTGAGGGGCTGGGGGGTCAGGGAGGCCTGGCGCCAGGTCTGGCAGGAGGCAGCTGCTCCGGGTGGCTTCCAGGTGGAGGTGCTGGGGTGGGTGGCGTGTGGGGTCAGGGCCTGCTGAGGGATCCCTTTGGCCCGTCACCCCACCTGCAGAGTTGGTCTGTAACCGAACCTTTGACAAGTACTCCTGCTGGCCGGACACCCCCCCCAACACCACAGCCAACATCTCCTGCCCCTGGTACCTGCCCTGGTACCACAAAGGTACCTTCCAAGGGGACGAGGGTCGGGGACTGGCTGAGGGCACAGCCAGCATGGTGCTGACTCGAGCCCCGCTCCCCCAGTGCAGCACCGCCTCGTCTTCAAACAGTGTGGACCAGATGGGCAGTGGGTGCGGGGGCCACGGGGACAGCCATGGCGCAATGCCTCTCAGTGCCAGATGGATGCCGATGAGCTGAAGGTTCAGGTCAGCCCGGTGGGTGCCAGGCGGGTACGGTGGGGGGGGCCCGGGCCACCCTAACCACCCGCCACCCTTGCAGAAGGAGGTGGTCAGGATGTACGGCGGCTTCCAGGTGATGTACACAGTAGGCTACTGCCTGTCCCTGGGGGCGCTGCTTCTCGCCCTGGCCATCCTGCTGGGCCTCAGGTACACTCAGCAGTGGGGGGCGGCGGTGCGGGGGGGCTTGTGGCACAGCTGTGAGCTGACGTGCTGTCCCGTAGCCAGCTGCACTGCACCCGAAACTACATCCACATCAACCTGTTTGCTTCCTTCGTGCTGAAGGCCGGCTCTGTGCTGGCCATGGATGCACTGCTGCAGACACGCTACAGCCAGAAGATCGGGGACGACCTCAGCGTGAGCGTCTGGCTCAGCGACAGGGTGAGTGGCACTGCCCGTGGCCGGGGGAGCTGGGCTGCCCGAGCTGACCAGTGCCCGTGGCCAGGGGCGGCCAGCTGCCCGAGCTGACCTGTGCCCGTGGCCAGGCCGTGGCTGGCTGCCGTGTGGCGGCTGTGTTCATGCAGTACGGCATCGTGGCCAACTACTGCTGGTTGCTGGTGGAGGGTGTGTACCTGCACAGCCTGCTGGGCCTCGCTGCCTTCCCTGAGAGACGCCTCTTCCCCCTCTACCTGGGCATCGGCTGGGGTGAGTGCGGCGGGCGGTGGGGACTGCCCGGCAGTCCCTCGGGGCCTGGGCCCACCACCACTTGTCCCCGCCGCCCGCCTGCAGGTGCTCCGATGCTCTTCGTCACCCCCTGGGCCGTGCTCAAGTGCCTGTTCGAGAACGTGCAGTGAGTGGGCACGGGGTGTGGGGCGTGGGGAGTGGGGCACGGAGCGGTACTTCCCTCCACTGCTGTGTGCCCAGAGCAGGGACACTGTCTTCCATGAGTGTGGGGTGGCGTGCAGGCTCCAGCAGGAGTCAGTGGGGTGAGCTGATGTGCTGGCTGGGGAGGGGCCCCCGGCCATCTCCACCGGTCCTGGGGCTCCTGGCTTCAGGGGCAGGGCTGCCAGGCTGCGGGGAGGCCATTAGGCTGGGGCGGGGGTGCAGACTGCGAGCTCGTCCCTGCAGGTGCTGGACCAGCAACGGCAACATGGGTTTCTGGTGGGTTCTGCGGTTCCCCGTCTTCTTGGCCATCCTGGTGAGGAAGTGGCGCCCCCCGGGCCTGCCAGGTGTGCGGGCGGTGGCGCTGGGCAGCTGGGGGCCTGAGCCAGTGGTGAGCTGCAGGCACACGGCACCCCGGCCCCTGGCACCCACCCAGGGTGTTGGCTGGCTGGTGCTGTGGGCCTCGGGCCAGGCTGCCGGACGTCGTCGGACAGGCGCCCGCCAGCACCAGAGCCTGCTGACGGGGGTGGGGGGGGTAGGGTGGGGGGGCAGCTGTGGGCCGGCCAGGGCTCCGAGCTGTCTGGGGTCAGCGTGGGCTGCCCCCTGAGACACCCTCCGCACCCACAGATCAACTTCTTCATCTTTGTGCACACCATCCACATCCTCGTGGCCAAGCTGCGTGCGCATCAGATGCGATACACCGACTACAAGTTCCGGTGGGGGCGGGGCGCTGCCCGGGGAGGGGTGTGGGTGAGGGGGGCCCGGGGGCCCCGGGGAGGAGTGTGGACGGGCGGGGCAGGCCGAGGGAGGCTCAGGCCCTGCCCCCTCCCAGGCTGGCCAAGTCCACGCTGAGCCTGGTGCCCCTGCTGGGCGTCCACGAGGTGCTGTTCGCGTTGGTGACTGACGAGCAGGCCCAGGGTGCGCTGCGCTCCGCCAAGCTCTTCTTTGACCTCCTCCTCAGCTCCTTTCAGGTGCCCCAGCCCGTGGCCCAGGGACCGCGCCGCCCTGACCCCCTTCCCACCCTGGGCACTGCCTTGCCCTGACTGCCACCTGCCCCACCGTGGGTGCCACCCTGACCCCTTCCCCCACCAGGGGCACAGCCCTGACCCCTTCCACCACCAGGGGCACAGCCTGACCACCTCCTGTCCCACCGTGGACGCCGCCCTGACCCCCTCCCCCACCGTGGGCACCACCCTGCCCTGACCGCCTCCTGTCCCACTGTGGACGCCGCCCTGACCCTAACCCCGTCCCCTGTCCACAGGGTCTCCTGGTGGCGGTCCTCTACTGTTTCCTCAACAAAGAGGTAGGTGGGGGAGGGACAGGTCTGGGTCTGGGTCCACCAGCCCAGGCCATCGGGGTCGGGACCCTTCACAGAGCTGGGTCACACCCACAGCCCTCAATTCCACAGCCACCCACATTGAGGGTCTCAGTGCTGCCATGGTGGTGGGGACAGAACACCCTGAACTAGGTTAGAAACACTAGTTGTTGTTCTGTGCTGTGGAGTCAGACCCCACTCATAGCGACCCCTCCTTGGGTTTCCAAGGCAGTATCACTACGGAAGTAGATTGCCCAACCTTCCTTCCGAGGAGTGGCTGGTGGGTTTGAACTGCCCGCCTTCTGGTTAGCAGTCAAATGCCTTAGGCACTATGCTACCAGAGCTCCCACTAGGGGTCCCTAAGTATCTGTAGACACCAGCATCCTGGGGTGACAGCAACCAGGTGGCATCACCCAGTGGCATGGGGTGCCTGCCCAGGCCCTCCAGGTCCCCCAAGGCTGGGGACCAAAGTGTGGTCCTAGGGGAGTGGGCTCCGGCCCAATGAACCGGGACGGGTCCTGGGGGGGTGGGCTCCGGCCCTGGGGACCGGGACGGGTCCTGGGGGGGTGGCCGCTGGCCCGGGGACTGGGATGGGTCCTGGGGGGATGCTGGCGACCCCACGCTGTTCCAGGTACAGTCAGAGCTGATGAGGCGCTGGCACCGCTGGAGAGTGGGCAAGGCCCTGCGGGAGGAGCGCCAGCCGGGCAGCCACACAGCCCCGCCTGCCCACGAGCCCCCCAGGGAGAAGCTGCTGCTGGTGAGGGGCGGCGGCAGCGATGGAGGCGGCCCGGACCCCTCCTCAGAGACCCCCTCGGCCCATGGCCTCTGCTGAAGTACCAGGACCCACGGTGGGGAGACTGGGCCCCTGGCGGGCCCCAAGGACATTCCAGATCAGTGCCCAACCAGGCTGGGGCAGCAGGGCCCCCGTGGCAGCAGGGTCCCCGTGGCAGTGCCAAGCTGAAGGCAGAGGATGGAGGAGCCATGCCAGGAACTGAATGCTGTGCGTCCCATGTCCCCGCGTGTCGGTGTATCCCCGTGTGCCAGCTGTCCCCACGTGCCCTGTGTGCATAGATGTGCCCTGACAATAAAGATGTGCCCTGACACACAGGCGTGTCCCTATGTGCACAGATGTGCCCTGACAAAGAGCCCAGCTGTGCAGAATGTGTACATCCTCCACAGCCCTCAGCCAGCAGGAGGGGGCAGCGTGGCCAGTGCTCCGTCCAAGGAGTCCCTTGAGTCACATTTTACCAACAAGTGTTCCTGAGGCCAGGGAGCCACCCTGCCTCTCTTGTCCCTGTCTGGCCACTACCCCAGGGCAGGTCTGGGGTGCCCCCATTAGTTTGACACCAGCCACCCGAGGATCAGAATCACGAGCCTAGGGGATAGGAAGGCCGAGGGTGGTCAGGGGGGCCCTAGCTTCCAACCCTCACCCTGCAAACCATGAGCAAACGCTGGTGACCAGGAGTGGCTTCTAGAACGCCCTTCCCTGGAAGCGTCCAGCACAGAGAGAGTCCCCCAAAGCAGAGAGGACCCCTGCCTGGGGCCGCTGACTCAGTCCAGACCCAGCCACCCTTGGTGCAGACTGCTGACCGAAAGGTTGGGGGTTCAAGTCCACACAAAGGCAGCCGGGAAGAGAGCCCTAGGACCTGACCTCTGAAAGCCCAGCCACTGAGAGTCCCGTGGAGAACCATCTGCGCGGCCACCGAGGCGGGGCCACCGAGGATGGGAGGGTTGCGCATGGGTCTCCAGTCACCCTGTGGATCGGTTTCCTAGCGGTTAGCAAATTGCACAAGAAATGGGCCTGATGCTGCCACAGTTCCCAGCGAAGACGCAGCAGACCCGACCCACAACCTCTGTGCAGAGACCCCTGCGCCCGAAAGGCAGGTGCACAGCCAGGGCCACATGGCAGCGGGTGACCCCCAGGATGTAGAAACCAGGGGCAGGGCACAGGTGGGGGCCCCAGTTGCCATCTGGGGCAGAGCCCGTCCTGAGGTACGTTCCACCCCCAGGGCTCAGGCATACCACCGGGGGCCAGGAGAGCCAGTGGAAGCAAGTCCCAGAGGGGAGGGCTGGCGGGGGCTGCAGTCACCCCCTCTCTAGGCACCCCCAAGCACAACCTGCAGCTCCTCATGGGATACGTGCATGGGGCGCCATCAAAGGGGATGGGGCCCACCAGGTGTCCCTGTGCAAGGAGCACGGGGGAGGGGTGCCCACCCACTAGGCCACGTGGGTTGAGCTGCTCAGGCAGAGCCAGGCTAATTGAAGCAAATGAAAGGACAGGAGGCCTCTCAGGAAAAGGTAAATAGGATTACTCATGGCCAGGCGCGGGCCCGGTGCTCGCTTCACCACCCCCGCAGGCGGGCAGGGAGGGAGGCTGGGGAGGCCATGGCCACAGGAAGCTGGGGCAGGAGAGGCTAGGCGGTCACAGGAGCTGTGGCTGGTGGGGACTTCCGTCCACGGGTGGGGCCAGCCGGCCACAGCCTCTCGGGACCCCACCCTCTCCAGACCCAGGGGCAGTGGCAGCCATACCACCTGGAGGCCTGAGGCCCCCGACCCTGAGGCTTTGCACACCTCTTGTCCCAGCCCCCAGGTCCCAGCAGCCTTGATGCCTACCTGCTGCGTAGGCACAAGGCAACTCCTTTGAGTTGGCAAGGGCGGGCACCCCTCTCCTTCACGCCAGCTGAGCTCGGGGTTGGGGACCGCCTGGGGGAGCATGCCACTCACCTGGGGCCTCCCGACACCCTTCCCAGCCCCCAATGCCCTTGTCCTCCTTCAACCTGTCCCCAGGCTTGCCAAGGGAACCAGAGCAGGCTGGCGGAGTCAAGGTAGAGGTGGGGGGCTGCAAGGGTTGGACTCTCCCAACCAATCAACACTGGCTGGGCTGGGCAGCGTGGCAGCCTGGCGCCTGGTGGGGACTCGCTTTCTAACTCTGCCTGGCTGCTGTGTACCAGCCCTGCCCCAGGCTCCCCCAGCACCTCTCTCCATCTGGGCCCCCTGCCACCTCCCAAGAATGCATGGGTGCCACTAAGGTGTGTGTCTGTGCACATGTATACATGCGTGTGCACGTGCTGTAAAGGAGGGTAGCTGGTGTGTGAACATGGAAAAGGCCACTTCCCAGTTGTGTGCAGGGAGGTTCAGCGGTGTGCTCACCCAGGGTCCTGGAGGGGTACGTGTGCCACTAAAGTGAGGATGTCAACAAGGAGGAGGAAGGAGACTGAGAAAGGATGGGTCCTTCCCAGCAGAGGCAAGGGGCCCCCAGCAGGGCAGCCACACGACAAGCAGGGTGGGAGCCAGGCGGGGGTAACACACGGGCTCCAGGAGACTCTCTCAACAGGATGAAAGTAAATGAATGAACTTGGTGGAGGGTTCAGGACTGACTTGGTGATTAATATATAAAATACAGCAAAAGAAAAAGGCGGCAATTAAAAACTCTAAGGAAAACAAAAAGCTGAGCAGGAATGAAAACGCAGCCTGTCTGGCACACTTGGCCAGGACACACGCAGACATCACCACATAAACACTCAACATCCGTGTCACCAAAGTCACAGTGTGGGCAAGGCAGCTGCCCAGGGAGGCTGGGAGCCAGAAGCGTGGTGTGTGTCAGGGTGGCTGGGGACCAGTGGATCCCTCCTCTCCCAGGGGAGGTCAACAGACGTGTAGGGTGGTCAGTGGAGAACCGTGCTCTCACGGTGTTTAGAAATGAAACCAGACAGGCAGCTCAGGGTGGCAGTGGCTGCCTCTAGGGGGTGGAGACACGGAGGCCGGCCGCCACCATCTGACTCTGAGCTTGTCTCCTCGCTCCCGGGCACCTCTGAGCCCTCAGCACCAGGTCCTCCCAGCTCACCTGCTCTCTCAGACCTTGGCCCTCTTTTCTGCTTTCTCCTCCTCCTCTCCCTCCGCTGAGCACCCTCCTCCTCGATTAACTGGTGAAAACCATCCATATTCAGACCGCTCCCAACCTCTATCTCCAGCCTGGGCTCTTGGGACTTCCAGGCAGCATGTCCTCCTGGGTGCCCCTGGGCCTCCCCGACTCAGGCTCACCGCCGTCCCCATGACAGGTCTCCCCCAGCCCACTCCCAACCTGTGGCCATGGAAAGTCTCCACACGCAAAGCTAGGCCAGCCTCTGCCTCTCCACTCCGCCCACGGGAGTCAGTGAAAAGGAGTCTGAGGAATTGACACAGGGATGCACCAAATCCCCAACATGGGACCCACCTGAGACTGACTGGGAAAGGGGGAAGGGACAGGCCAATTCAGAGACATGTGCGGGGACCTTGCTTTTCACCTCGGTCAAGAAACCCAACACTTCCGTAGTTGATTCTGACCCACAGCGCCCCAGAGGACAGAGTGGAACTGCCCCACAGGGTCTCCCAGGCTGTCAGTCTTCACAGAAGCAAAGCCCAAACCACACCCACTGCCCTGGAGTCCATTCTGACCCACAGCGCCCCTAGAGGACAGAGTGGAACTGCCCACAGGGTCTCCAAGGCTGTCAATCTTCCCGGAAGCAGACTGCTTCATTGCCCACATGCACAGTGGCTAGTAGGCTTGAACCAGTGACCTTTTGGTTAGCAGCCAAGTGATTTAACCACTGCACCACAGAGCTCCTTAGCCAATGAACCCCCTGGGAAATACTGTTGTAGACACTCAGGAGCCCACAGATGGGGTGCCAGCTGGCATCAGGGAGTTACTGTTCATTGTAGCAGGTGGACAGAGTCTGTGGGTGGGTAGATGGCTAAGCATCCTGCTAGTAACAAGAAAGAAAAGCCTGGTGAACCCCACGGGCCGCTGCCGACCCGATGGGGCACAGCTCTGCTCAGACACATGTGGTGTCACGACAAGGGATGCCGACTCAGCAGCAGCTGGGCAGGGTTCTGGGTAGCAGGGGCGGGCATGGTTCTGGGTAGCAGGGGCGGGCAGGGTTCTGGGTAGCAGGGGCGGGCATGGTTCTGGGTAGCAGGGGCGGGCAGGGTTCTGGGTAGCAGGGGCGGGCATGGTTCTGGGTAGCAGGGGCGGGCAGGGTTCTGGGTAGCAGGGGTGGGCATGGTCTGAGTTCTTCTCACAGTGGCTCTGTGTTAACAGCTCCAGACAAAAGCACAGGGGCGATGGGACAGACAGCAAACAGGATCGGCCGGGGGGGCCACCCAGAGCCACCCCACCTGACTGTGTGCCCGTGTTTGATGACTGTCATAAAATGTTAGCTGCTAAGGCCACTGTGGTACAGGGCATGACACCCCACCAAGCCAGCCCTTCCTTCGGTCACCCACTTCATGGGAGGGAGTGTCTGTGCCCCCACAGGAGCAAGACAACGTCCCCCTGGCCCCGCCCTGATCCCTTATCGGTCACCCTCCTCAGGCAATGCAGCCAGGGCCCTTCCCACCCGCACCCCTACCTCTGCACAGCCTTCTGGGGGGCCCTCATTTTCTCCTGTAAACCGAAGGTGGCTGTGGCATGCAGACGTGCCCCACCCCTCACCCCTGAATGACTGATGTGGTGCTATGAGCCACTCACAGCCAGCAGCTCCACGGGCCACGGACGACGGTCCGAGGTGACAGCATGTCCAACACCTCAGCTTTAGTCTGACCACTAGGCAGCAATGGTACCCACCTCGGACCCTCATCCCTGCCACCCACCCTCCTGTCCCACCCGAGACCTTCTGGGCAACACTGAATGGTCACCCACAAGGCTGAAGTGCCCCTGCCGGAGGCCATGTTGGAGAAGAGGTGGTGCCCTGGAACAGAAGGGCAGGCGGGTCAACAAGCCAGGGATCCATGGGGCATCAAGAGGGTTAACCCAGTCCGCCCACCCTCGGGCCACCCTGCCTGGGCCACCAGCCTCTGACGCACGATGTCTGCACCACTCCCCGGCCCACTCTGCCAGCTTACAGCCTAAGCGGGCCATCTTGCCTTGGGGCTCAGCTTGATAGAGGCTTTAGGTCTCAAAGAAGCCAAACCTGTTGGCAGAGAGATGGCTTTGGTGGGAATGGGGTGTCCAGTGGGTCTACCCACTTGGAGAAGGTAAAGGGGCACACAGGCCTGGGTTGCTGGGGCTGCAGGCTGCAGGCATCCTTGGACTTGGGGAGGTCAGGGAAGGTGACAGGTGGCAGGCTTGGCAGAACTAGATTCCAGGCGGGACCCAGTGAGGCCTCGAGGGGCCAAGTTCAGAGGCCTGCTGCTAACTTCTGGCCCCACAGGAGGGGACCAGGGTTCACGGTGACCCAGTCAGGCTGCAGATCAACACCCAAACGACATTTATGCCAGAGAACAGGCCCTGAGATGCAGGGGGTGCTGTCCGGGCCCAGCAGCTCCTCAGGGAGGCATCTGGTCGCCCTCAGCTCACACCCTGACTGTCCAGCCCGGAAAACTCTTCTGGGAAAAGGTGCTCCTGAAATAAATTCCAGTCTGGCTTCCTTCTTGGCTGTGGGCAGAGACCAGTCTGGACTGTGGCATGGCCCTGGATTGGCCTGAGGGCCTCCCAGTGTCCGAGGAGGCCCTGCAGCCTCCTCAGTGGGAGGGCACCGGCCAGAGCCCCGACTCGGACCCCACTTTGGGGGGCTGAGCCCCCTAGCAACACCCAGACCCTCAGCCCTGCCACGGGAGGACGTCTGGACTCCCCGTTCCCTGTGACGCCAGCTCTGGTACTCCAGACCCGACCTGGAGGTGGAGGCCTTGTGTGCTCAGGGCCAGTGGGGGTGAGGGGTGCCAGCGAATCTGGCAGGAAGCCCACTAGGGCTGCCAGGCAACAGAGCGCAGGAGGCTAGTCCCAGTGCCCAGCTTTATTCACTGATGCTCAGGGGACACGCTAACACACGCCTTTGAGGGCACGGGAAGGAGGGGCCCTGGAGACCCTCCCGGCACCCCACAGCCAGGATGGACTGGGGCCCCCACCGCTCAGGCCAGCCTGGCACCTCTGCCACCTCAGATACCAGCTGAAGCCCTCAGACACCAGAAGGCCAGGCCTGTTGCCCGAGATGCCCGAGAGGTCCACTGCCCCCGTGACGACGAGGTGGGGGTCAGAGCTGCCAGCATCCAGCCAAGGGAAGCAGCAGAGGTCCATGGGGCGCCCAGTGAGTGGGCGGGGCTACCCTGTCCCACCTCCGGGCCACTCGGGGGGTGAGCCAGCCGGAAAAGAGGGGATGGGGCCTCCAGATGGCTCAAAAACACAGAAGGGGAGCAGGGACTCAGGGTCCAGACCTCCCAGAAACAGGGCAGCGTGAGACCCGAGGGGGCGGGTGGGAGGGCTCGGGGGTGGGCGGCCCTGGCCATCAGTCAGACCCCCCCAGGGCGTCCCCAAGCCGGCCTGCGGGAGAGGCGGCAGCCATCGCTGCTGGCTGAGCTCAGCCGGTGCTGGCCCCTCAGGACTTCTTGGCGTCCTGCGTGCTCCGGCGTCGCAGGTCGCTCAGGTCAATGGGTTTGAAGGCTGTTGAAGGAGGGCAGCCGATGGAGGGCAGGTGGGGGGTGTCGCCATCCAGCTCCTGCCTCCAGAGGCCCCAGGAGCCCACCCGCCCTGCAAGTGCTACCCCATGGCCGTGGACGCCTCACCCTCCGGCCCCCAGCCCAGCACCCAACTCACTCTTCAGGCTGGGGTTGGGGACTTTTTCCACGTACTCCTCCACCAGGCCCCGCTCGCTGCCTGACATCTGGTTCCGCAGGTCTCGCTCCACACCCTGCCAGGCTGTGGGTGGCAGGGGTCAGGGCTTGGCGTGGGTGAAGGCACTTCTGGCAGGCCACCCCTGTAGACCTGCACCTTGCTTCCTGGCCTGCTGCCCTGCACACTGTGGCTGCTGTCGCCAGTGCCCAGCCTTTCTCCCAGGAGCCCTGGTGGGACCACCTCTCCTCTTGCCTCTTTGCCTGTCCCCGCCTCTTTGCCTGTCCCTCTCCAGACTGTGGCCAGGGGGCAGTGCAGGCCACACCCGGGTGCCCTATCCCTGAAGCCTCCTGCCCCACACCCTCCTAGGGTGCACACACACCCTACCCCACACACCAGTTTCCCCACCGACTTGCAACCACCCCAGGAGGCCAGGACAGCTGGAGCCAGGCCCCCTGGGAGGGGAGGTGGCGTGGGGGCGCCCACCTTCGTAGATGAAGCGGACATTCTCCTCGTGGGCCGGGGTGAAGATCTCACTGCTGTTGGTTGGAGACCGGGGGCTGCTGTTCCTCCTGCCGTTGTAGACCACTCTGGAGACGGGAGAGCTGGGGACCCGTGCAGTGTGAGGCAGGGGTGAGGGAGGGGTGGGGGTGCCCACAGCCCAGTCCCCACCCCCCACCGGGGCAGAAACTGACCTGGTCATTGCTGGGATGTCCGGTCCTGGCGCTCTGCTGCCCAGTCCCCTCGGGCCTGGAATGAAGCTGGGGACTCAGGACAGGGTTGGGGGTGTCAGGGCGTGGGGGCGGGGCATGAGTGCATCGGCCTCCTTAACGTAAGCTGTGGTCAAACTATAGGGGCCCCACTGCCCACCAGGGGGTCCCAAAGGGTGGGCCGGCCTGGCATCATGAGGTGCCTGACCATCTCAGGCAGCTGGCTGGGGTGAGTGGCTCCGCCCTGCAGCCTGAGACTCTGGAAGCACTGGGGTGTCCCTGGCCCACCTAGGTGCACCCAGAGCCCCTGGCATGCATGCGCAATGTGGGGCACCGTTGTTCTCTGGGGTGCAAGGCTGAGGCCAGTCGGGGTCCATAAGAGGGCCTACGCCCCAGAAAGCCCCTCCTGGGGCCTCAGTGGCACTAGCTGGCCCATTGTGCCTGTTTGGAATGGGCCTACACTTCCCTGGGGCCCCAGGTCCCCATGCCCAGGCCCTGCAGAGCCAGCCTGCAGAGGAAGCCAGACTGGGGGTGGGGTGGTGAGGGCAGCTAGCAGGCTGCCCACACTCGGTGCGGGGCTCCCCCAGCCCTGGAGAGCAGCCTTGATTTCTAGGCTCACACTCTCATTGTCCAGCTGGCCGAGGTCCCTGGTCGGGCTGAGGCCGTGCAGACACAGGATGAAGCCACTACCAGGCCAGGTCCAGCCTGGCCTCGTCCCAGAGCAGGCAGCCCCATGCTGGCAGGACACACTTGGGGAGGCTCTTAACACAAGAGCAGCCCAGAGGGTCGAGAAGGGGCCAGGGTGGTCGCACTGGGACGTCTGGGGCTTCTCCCCCAGCAGGAACTTGGGGTTCATCTGTCCCCTCCAGTGCCAACACTGGCAAGAGACAATGTCACCCAGACAAGTTTACCTGGGCGAAAGGAGTCCGTGGGCCCAGGGGACGGACAGACAGGGAAGGAGGTGAAGCTGCTCCCTTGAAGCAGGTAGGGCTTCAGCCCTGCTTAGCACTGCCCGAGCCTCGGGCCAGCCCGAGTGGTGCTGGGCACCTGGTGACCTCCCCTTCTTGGAGGGTATCCCCTGCTTCAGTCTGGAACCCCTCAGCTCACAGTCCACCACCAGGGAGTCTGGTCCAGCGGACACCAGCAGAGAGAAAGCCCTTTCTGAAGTCCCCCCAGGACACCTGCTGTCACTCTCCTCCAGGGGTCCCCCTGCCCATGTTATCTTCCCCACGCAGCCTCTGCCTCCAGAACCCCAGGGTCTTTGGGCTGGCTGTCCCCTGGGCCTAAGTTCCTCTGCTGACCCGCCCCTCCCACACCCTCCCACTGCTCATTCCCTTTGGGGGCCGCTGCCTGCCTCTGCTCACAGGGGTTCTCTGATGTGGGGTTCTCACCTGCCTGTTCACCTCTGCAGCCGAGAGGTGCCAGTGCTGCAGGGTGGAAGGGCCCCCGTACCCTGTGCTGCCAGCGCCCCCCACCCCAGGCCTGCAGAGCTGGCTCCTCCCTTCTGAGCAGACCAGGTGGACCCCCAGCCCCTGGCAGCACAGGGAGGGCACAGGCTGGTAAACAGAGTCACGGTGGGAACACGTTTCATGTGGTAATAAGCTCACACATCACCAAGCTGCACACCCCACAACCGCCCCTCACGTCTGTGCCCCACAGCTGCATCCCATGTCTGAATGCCCATGTCTTCTCATCTTACATCTGCACCCGGCATCTGTACTACCCGTGTCTGTGTACCGAGTGCCCATGCCTATACCTCGCGTCTGTGTACCCCATGTCTGAGTGCCCCATGTCTGTGCATCCCATGTCTGCACCCCACATCTGTGCCCCTCACGTCAGTGCACCATGTCTGAACCCTACATCTGCACCCCGTCTCTGAGCACCCGTGTTTCTACCTTGCGTCTGTGCACCCCGTGTCTGCATGCTGTACATCTGCGTGTGCAGTGTGGCGATGACCTGGTCTGGCTCTCCCAGCCATGGCCTTTGTGACCCCCCCCAGATGACTAGCTGGAACTAAACAGACACAAGATGCCTGTGGTCCACCAAGCGAACTGGATAGTTAGTTCCCTAGCAACGTTAATAAGGCAGGATCATGGAAATAAGGGGTATTGAACTTGAATGAGGGAACTGGTTGGTTCTGTCATTCTGCCAGGCTTAAAGTGAGCCCTCCCAGGGGCAGAGCAGGGGACCTCACTGCCATCAAGGAAGGAGAGTCGGGGGTGGAGTGGAGCGGGTCCTTGGACCCGGGATGCTGTGCTGGGTCTCCTTGGCAGGAGGGCAACAGAGACTACAGGTTGAGAGATGGTGGCAGCAGAACCAAGAGGCGAGACAAAGCCGTGGGCTTGCTGGCCCACAGAGTGAGAAAGCCGAGTGCCTCTGGACAGAAGGCTCGTTGGTGGGCTGGGGTGCACTTACCAGCAGAGCTAAAAGCTCCGTAACCCTGCCTGGGCAGGGAAAAGGCCAGGCCTAGAGGCTGCGGGCCAGAGAGGAGGACCTGAGGGTATGGCCAAGGGGAGACTGTCTTGACTGAAGAACTGTATCCTGAGCACGTTTCTAACCCTCAATTATTGTGTTACTTCTCTAATGGGAAGCTCTGGTGGCGTAGTGGGTAAGGCACCTGGCCACTAACCAGAAGGTCAGCAGTTCAAACCCACCAGCTACTCTGTGGAAGGAAGAAAGGGAGGTCTATTTCTGTAAAGACTCACAGCCTTGGAAACCCTATGGGGTCGCTATGAGTTGAAAGTGAGGCCTCGCTAACAAACCCCGTAGCTGTGAGTTATGGTCTGTGAGTTCTGTGGGGCCACCGCAACGAACTGTGGAACGCAGCCGAGAAATGGAGGTGCCCGGGAGGGAGGGCTGCAGTCAGAGGCGGCAGAAAGTCCGGAGGCTGGCGGCGTGCTGGCCTCACGGGAACCAGCTCAGGCTGCTGCTGGTAACTGCGTGGGGTCACGAGGCAGATGCCGCCCCCGCACGCCTGTTGCGGCCCGCCCAGATTCTGTGCGCCCCACGTCTGGGTCCCTTCACTGCCAGAGCCAGCCTCAACAGGTTCTCCCTCCTGGGACTCAAAGATAAAAGGAACTGAGGAGAGGAAGTCCGCTCTGTTCCGGCAGGCTGAGCCCAGAGGCTCTGCGCCACTGCAGGTCCTGCCCACCTCCCCTCCCAGCTTGGCCTACTCCACCCACAGGTCTGAGGGCCGAGCCCCGAGCCTCCCTTCCTCGAGCCCTCCCCAAGGGCTCGTCCAGTCCCGACTCCTGCACCGGCCTCTCTGGCCCCAATGCCCACAGTGCCAACTTGACCTCCCCAACGCCCACTATATCCCCTGGCCACTCACCAGCTGGGCACCAGCTAGGCCCTGCGGCCACCAAGCTCAGAGTCCAGCCTAACCTACTTTATTGGATGTCACCTGCTGCTAGGCCCCCAGCCTACCCCCAAGCAGTCTTTGCTAGAAAAACCTCGTGCCCCTCCACAGTGTCCTAGCCACTGGGCCCGTGTTCTCAAGGACCTCCTGCCTACGGGTCTGGACCGTCAAGCCCCAGAATGCCTGACTGGCTGAGGACGGGGCATGTGGAAGGCCAGTGCTGCTCCAGGGCTGGAGGTCGGCCCTGCGGCTCCACCACGGATGGGAGCCCTATCTCAGATACTCGCGTGGTCCCTCACTCAACACAATGAAACAGGATGCTGACGGCGGTCAGAAGGAACAGGATGGGGTGGGAAGACGGGGGAGCCGCTGCACGGCGTGTGAAGACATAGGCAGGGGCCAGGCCCATAGCGAGTGGAGACGCAGGCGGGGACCAAGCCAACAGTGAGTGGAGATGCAGGCGGGGACCGGCGCGTACACGGCGAGTGGAGACGCAGGCGGGCATGGGGCCGGGGCAGGCAGACAGAGCAGAGAGCCACCGCTCCCATGGAGTGGAGACGCATGGGGGACTGGGACACTATGTACAGGAGTGGAAGCACGGGGCGGGGGGGACAGACCGCCAGCAACAGAAAAACACCATGACCACGTTTGTCCAGGGCTAGCCGGGACCAGCCACTGTGGAGGTCCTTCACAGATACTGCCCACGTATCCGCCCCTACTGGGCAGGAGGAAGGCAGCTTACATCCACGCGTGAGGATGAAGGGAGTGCGGTCCTGAGAGTGGACCGTGCCCCCGCCCCCGCCCGCATCAGCTGTCGCCGCCTGCATCCTGGCCTCCCTGAAACTCCTGCTGCCACTGGCCCTCAGCCCCCAAGTCAGGGACAGAGACTTATTCACACAGGTCAGTGGAGCAGCCTCCCTTTCCAGAGACCTGGGGGTATCGGAGTTTCCTGGGGGAGACACGAGCCGGGGGGCACAGGAGCACAGGCAGGACCAGAACTCAGGGCTTCCCCCCCCACGTGGCCATATGTCTCAGGACATGAAGACAGGACACAGATGATCCCGTGGCCCAGAAGTCACAACGGAGACAGTGGGCTCAGAACCCACATCCCAAGGGTGGTCGTTCGGCCCTCTTGCAAAACTTCCCACTCTCAGGTCCCCTTATCACCACTTCCCCGTCATGCTCTGTGTCCTGGGGCTCCTAGTGGCCCCTTTTCAGCCAATGAAACTTCTAGAAAATGACGTGCTACCCAGTCGGGTAGGATGGTGCCTGTGGCGGACACCCCACAAGGCCCCGCTGTTCCCGAAGCCCACAGTCACAGCCTCTGCCTCAGCCTCCCCGTCCTCCTCCCTTCCTGCCCGGGGAACAGCCTGAGCGCGTTCCCCTCCTGTGTCCCTTTCCTCCCCGAGAGCATGTCTCCCCTCAATCTCCTCAAACCAGCCACATCCTCTGGGAGACCTGCTCCTACTTGGCCCCAAATGCCCTACACACGCTCCACCCAGCAGTCCCCTCGCTGGCCTCAGTTTACCCGTCTGGGCCTTTCTTTGAGCTACTCCCTCTGCCCCCATGTCTTTCTTATCTTCGGGGATCCAGCTGACAGAACACTTTCCCCAGGAAGTCTACCTGGGCTGGGAGGGTCACCTGACTTCTGCATTCCCGTTATCTCCAGGTTTATACATCCTCAACTGCGTCTGCACTCAGAAGCCTACTCTACATCTGCACACCCCAGAGCTCCTGCCAGGGCACCCCAGACGTCCACCACCTCCTGCACCTCACACCGCAGCGGGCAGCCAGCACAGTGCGGGAGCCTGTCAGAGCGCCTGTAAGCCTTGGACTCCACAAAGCACTCCTGGGGAGACCAGAGTTTGGGAGACACAAGATAACGGCACACGGAAGAAAGTGGGGAAGGGCTGCCAGAGGCGGGAGATGCCCCCTTGGCCAAATGTGGAGGCAAGACATCACTCAGCCCAGCCCAGGGAGAAGGGCCACCCATTGCAGGTGCAGCCCATCGGGGTACAGCCCGTCGGGGTGCAGCCTGTCGTGGGGTGCAGCCCACCGGGGATGTAGCCCACCAGAGGCACAGCCCATCAGGAGAGGCAGCCAATCGTGGGGTGCAGCCTAGTGGGTGTGCAGCTCCTCGGAGGCGCAGCCTGTCAGGGGCGCAGCCCATCAAGGGTGCAGCCGATCATCAGTGCAGCCTGTCGGGGGCACAGCCCATCAGAGAAGCAGCCTGTTGTGCAGTACAGCCCATGGTGGGGTGCAGCCCACTGGGGGTACAGCCCATCTGGGACACAGCTCATCAGGGGTGCAGCCCATCAAGGGATGCAAATGATGGTGGGTGCAGCCTGTTGGGGGCAGAGCCTGTCAGGGGCGCAGCCCATTGTGGGGTGCAACCCACCAGGGTGCAGCCTGTCCAGGGCACAGGCGCTTGGGGGTGCAGCTAATCAAGGGCACAGCCCATTGGGGGGTATGACCTGTCATAGGTGCAGTGGATCGGTGGTGCAGCCCATTGAGAGCACAGCCATCCAGGGGTGCAGCCTGTCAGGGGCACAGCTGCTCAGGGGTACAGCCCATTGTGGGTGCAGCCTGTTGGGGACACAGCCCCTCATGAGGCCGGCCTGTTGGAGGCGCAGCTGCTTGGGGGTGCAGCCCATCAGGGGATGCATGAGATCGTCGGTGCATGCCCGTCGGGGGCGCAGCCCATTGGGGGTGCAGGCCATCCGGAGGTCAGGCGCTAGTCGGCCCCCTTCCCGGTCCCTGCCCTCCTCCAAGGCCCAGTCTCCACCTCTCAGGAGCAGGAAGGGGCCCCCCTCCCCGAAGGCACGCCCAGGCGCCGGGATCCCCGGGGCTCCCCCAGGCCGCATTCCCCGACGGCGACGGCCGACCTCCCGCCCGACTCCTCAGAGCCCGCGCGGCCAGCGCCGCAGCCGGGAGCCGGGAGCCGAGAGCCGGGGCTGC